AAAAAAACAAAACAAAACAAAACAAAACAAAGGCATTTTACGACTGTGATACCACAGGTATCCTAGTAATAATTTGGCTAGTACTATCGTTATCTGAAAATGGCAGCTGTCATTTCACATGTTTTTAAAGAGGTAATATATAATATAGTCAGTAGGAATTGCGTAAAGTAAATTAAATACTTAAAAATATATAATAAATTACAAATTATTATTATATAGCATTATAACTAAAGAAGGCCTCGGTGGAGGGTCTCTGCCTCTCTTACATTCGTAGTTAGTTTCGGAGATGGTAGGAGAAATTTCGCGAATTAGCTCAGTATGTTTTCGGCAAATCGGTGTCACTTAACAATCTAGCTGATTCCTTCAGAAGCAACGAGCCAATCAGTCGAAGTCAACATGCATAACTTTAAAAAAAAATAGCGTCTCACTTCTGGCCTGACCCGGATAGTGTACCTTCTATGTTTTATCTATCCAAAGAATTTCAAATAATATGCTAAACAAGTTTTTAATAATTTGACATTGAATATGATATTTATAAAACTGAATTAAAAGATTTGATGGCTAGAATATATATTTTTAAAAAACTTCGAGGCTCAAACCGCACAAGTTAATAAAAATTTTTAAGGTTCCCCTCCCCGTTATGGATTTTGGTCATAGCAATTTGATGCGGGTTTTACTTTGCGAGCAAGTCTGCTTGCTATCTTTTTTAGGTTGACTTCGTTTTTTCGAAGTATTTTGATATTATCTTTTTAAAATCCTTATAGCTAGCTTTCGTTCTTATAGRATTGCAATTGGAGCTGCTCTGACAAGTTTGGGTTGTTTTATATTCGTAAACCACTTCTTTGGATTTCCTTTGGTTTTGGTTGGACGTGATGGGTAGCTAGGTTTTAGTTCGAACTTTAGAGCTTGGTTTCGTTGCAGATAGAACAGATTGAAACGAGACCGACTGTGCTTAGGATTTAGTTTAAAACTGGAATGACTTGTATGGATGGCGTTGAAGATGATATGCAAAACTGTTATTCCTGTGAAGGCTCAGGCCAAACGTCGAAATTCATATGAGCCGAACTTAATTGTGCGAATTAAGTTCATGTGAGGTTCGACGTTTGACCCAATTAAGTTCGACCGATTGCATTTGGACCGACTATGTGAATCTTCACGACTAGGTCAGTCGTAAAGAACGACTGTAGATCGACTTGGGGTCAAACGTCGATCCCCACATGAGCCAATCTAAACGCATAAATCATGTTAATGTATGTTTTGCACTCCTTTTAATTATTCTTCGTCACCACGCATGTGCCCTTAATGAATTTTTCTATATGACTTCATTTTTACTTAAAAGTTGACTGTTGCAGCTCGTGTTTGTAATTACAAATTATTGTTGTCTTTATGGTGAAGTACCAATATGCAACAAGTGATCGTCTATAAACAGCATCCGCATTGCTCCGTGATAGTTGAAGAAGCGCAGTTACAGAACAGACACGTACGTAACTGCAAGCAGATGCCGCATTGCATTTCATATTCTCTTGATTAACTATGAGCATACTCATCTATTCACCATTTTCCTCAAGCGAGGCGCCAAGGTACTTCAAAGGATTATTCAAATTTGAACCTTGCAAACCTCGACTGAATGCTTTCTGAATACTTTGGCTGCGCAGGAGGCTAATATATAGTACCTGACATAATGAATCTTTGAAGGGTTACTAAAGTAAAGGTGCTCTTTCCAGTGCTGGTATTGGTTTTTCACTCATTTTAATTTTAACTCATTCGCTCAACATGCCGGTGCTTGAGGTTGTGGTCTCCGTCATTCAAAGATATACCAAGTCCTTTAATTAATCTGATTAACCAACAACCTAACCTGTGTTCAGCTGCTTCCCACTCTTCTCCCCTACGGCGGGAAACGGGTGGAGGGGTGAGAAGCGGCTGTACACGGCCATAACGCCTAAAACATACTGCGGCTAGAATTGCGCTGAAGTAGACGAATTCGAATGTTTAATTTATTTTTTTATATTTTTTAATGCTTTGTTATACGATAAACAGCAAATGTTCGCCTGGTTGGAGGGTCAAATAACACAAACAACACAGAAGGTCGAGTAGAGGTTTTCTACAATGGTCAATGGGGAACAGTCTGTGATGACAGTTGGGATTTGAACGATGCTGATGTGGTCTGTCGTTCACTGGGTCTACCAAGAGCAGGGGCTGCACCACAGAGTGCAGCTTTTGGTCAAGGAACTGGTCCAATCTGGATGGATGATGTGCGCTGCAGTGGAAGTGAATCATCTTTGTTCCAGTGTCAGCACAGAGGATGGGGATCACATAACTGTGGACATCATGAAGATGCAAGTGTTGTGTGCTTACCACCGCGTAAGTGAATTTAATTGGGGGCATCTCTATTGTTTCCAGCCTTGCATTTCAGGACAGTGTTGTTTCCATTCGTGACGTCACATAGCAACCGATGAATTCATGCTATGGGATTTTTGTTACGGTTGATATAATTAAAATGCCACAGCAGTTTGAAAATGGACCAAAAGAAAGGGGCTTATTTACAGATTGAAACGCTTTTGAAATCTAAATCCGTCTCCTGTGTAGTAGTTTTATATCTTCTGTATTCGGCTTTGTATTTTAATCTATCTATTTGTTGAAGTATTTGACTTTATCATATGACCCGTATCTGCCCGGGCGCGCGCTCTTAGAAAAACCTTCGGGAAAATGGCGTGAGCAGGGCCGTACGAATTCGTACGGCCCTGTTCGAATCCGCGCGGTTTCTTTTTTTAAATTATTTTTCTTTTCGTGAGGGTCATATGATAAAATGCTTATTGACTGAGTTAGGTCGGGCCGCAAGGGAAAATATTTGGCTCTCGGTCATTTGCACGGACCTCGCTGCGCTCGGTCCGTACGGCACCACCTCGAGCCAAATATTTTCCCGTACGACCCTCCCACTCAGTCAATAAGTAGATAGTATGTTTTTTTCATTAACACATATTTTAAGTTATTTTTTAGTTTTATGAAGTTTATTTCGATACTTATGTAATTTTGAGGATCAAGGTTGTTCAACGGCTTGACACAGGTAGTTCAAAAGGAGGTTTTTAAGCTTAAAATGTATTTTGAAGTTTTTACTGATTATTCATATTTATTAATAACAACAAAATCAGAAGAGACTTTTCTTTGCTCTTGCAGAGTGAGTTTTCTAATGGGTTTTGTGCCATTTTAGATCACTTCCGGTCCCTGAAATTATGCAAAATCGCATAAGACTACATAATTTATATTATAAGATGCGGATCTAAAAGTGTTTCCCACAACATTCTGTTCATCCGCCATCTTGAAACACAACTTTTTTCCAGAATCGCCTTTTTTATAACGCAGGTTTTGATTGGATCAGCTTTCAATTAAAATAACCCAATCACAAAAAGTAATAGAAATGACTGATTAAGTTCGGATTCTGATTGGTTAATATTTTTGTAACCAACCAATCAAAATAAGGGATGCTTCAAAGGTCTTATGGGCTTCCTGTGGATCGGTGCGGATAGAGATCACACGTGGCAGTCTTTGTAGGACTCACTAGTTTTCCAGGATTCCCCTAAATATAACATAGAAATTTTATTTAAATTCCTCATTTCTCCTTTGCATTTCCCTTTCAAAATGCTGCAGCTTAATCAACTGCTGCGCATTTTTAGTGTACTAACTATGGTAAGTGAGTGAGTAATTTTTTGCATTCAATTTTTTTCCAATATTTTCAGATGTTTTAGCTTTGCAGTCATCCGTGAACTTGTTTTGATTCTTTCTCCAGATTTCTATATCAACTCTACAAGCTAAAAAATCAGATAATAGACGCTTTATTGTGGACATAGAGGATATCAAACCTTTTAAGAAGCTTCAAAGAACTCATACAAACTTATTGGTATTGTTTAGTAAATCAGGTAAGGCCGACTGCTCCTTTACTATCTCAAATTAAAAACTAATCCAAATATATTTTCTTCTTATCCAATTGTTAGTCTTAGTATTTAAAAAATATCAGCTGTTTTATTCATAACTATCACCTTCTTTAACTTTTTTCTTTTATACCAAACAGTTGGTTATTCATACCGAGATATATATATTGATGCGATAGCAGAAGATAGCAGCAGAACTAATAAATCCAAATGCAATATTTACGTAAAATATGTCAGCAGGAGAGCTTTCAATTTAATTCAATTTTGCAATTTCTCTAATATATTATCTTCAAGAGTTTCCCCTTTTGGGAATATTAAAAAGCAATTGTTCATTTAACGATCAGAAAAACAATAAAAAGATAATTCAGTTTTTGCTTTTGAAATTGAAAATTACCCAGACAAGAATACGTTTCACGCTTCGTTACCCGTCTATATTGTAATATTTTTCTCAATCCTTTTGTCTAGCCATTCATCTATTTGTATTCATCTGTTTTTAAACTGCTTCTTTCTTCTTTGTTTCCTTTCTGCAGACAAAGATGCCTCCAAGCGCATGGGACTACTTGGAGATGTTGCCAAGGAGATCAAGGGGAAGGGAACGATAGCATATATCGATTGTGGGTAAGTAAAATGATTTATAAAACAAATCTTATTTTGTGCTTTGTTTATTCTTGATCGCAATTAATTGTCTAGGATTGGTTGCCAGCTGATCAGGCAATGGGGATCTCCATGGAAACATTTTTTCTTCTCTTCTTTTCTCTTTTATTCTCTCGTCTTGTCTTATCTCATCTCATCTCATCTCATCTCATTCCTGATGTCTTTTCTCTTCCTTTCTTCTCTCTTTTTTATCATTTCTTCACTTTTTCCTTTTACTCTTTCTTCTGTTCTCTTCATTTCTTTTCCCCCTTTGCCTTTAAAATGTAACTATGATGGTTGTAACTATGCCTTTGAAAAAACTTTACGAAAAAGCAGTTAACATTTATGCAAGGAGCAATAAATATTTCTTTTTATTCCATGAGTGATGAGAATCTTTTTTCCCATTAAAACTTCAATGCAATTAAATTTATTTTTCAAGCTAAYATTTATCGTAATAATTATTTCATTTACTTATTTCAGTACTAGTAAAAAATTATGCAAGAAGCTGAAAGTAACACCCAAGCCAGTTTCTCTCATGCATTACAAGTATGTTAAGAGTACAGCTTTTTACAGTACCACTTGCCTAAAAGTGGCCATCCAATTTATTTTTTACCAATGCTGTCAAATCCTTTCCACCAAGTGTTGCCATCAATTAAAAGATTTTTCTCGAAAGTGTACAGTGTTTGCCAGCAAAGGGACCAAAATAGGTATCACCTAGGCAAATTCATAACCATTTATTTTAAGAGTTTTTGTTGCAAAAAGTACAAAATAATTTTAAATATTTGGGGTCATGCTGAGTGAGGTCACGTGCAAATGCACAAATTCTCACTGTCTGATTGGCTAACTAGTAAAAAAATAAGTTGGGTGGCCATGGTTAGGTGCATTGCACTGTAAAATTAAAAAATGTTGCCAGTTAATTATACTTTTATTGATTATCTTGAGCCATGATGTGCATTATTTTATCTTTATCAGAGATGGAAAATTTAATAAAGAATATGACCGTAAAAATACCTTCAAGGTAAGTCAATGATATTCATTGAAATCAGTCATTAGTTGACTGGAAAGTATGCCATATTCTATATGCTATCTTTTCTCTTTTACGTTGACAATGCAAGTATAAACAATGCACCTTAGAAGATAAAAAGTTAAAAATCAATCTGGTGCTCAGATTTTTTTTCTGAGCTCATATTTTATATGGTTGCCATGAATAATTTCATTTTCATGCAAAGCACCTCACTTAGAATAAGATGTTGCTTAGGGATTTGGTTGAAAGTTTATCATCTTGCATAGGAAAAGCATTTGATTGAGTATTTACAGGCTTTTAGTACACACCTTTTTCAAAAACCATTTTTAGTCAGAGATCTGAAACTATTTGGGAGTGAGTAATATGCTGCAAATTGTAATATATTCATAGCTCAACAACATAGTTTCCTTTTAAGTTGGAATATAAAGCTATGACCTTTGAGTTAATAATGTGAATTTTTTGTATTTTAGCAAGAAAGCATAAAAGCACTAAAGTTCTTTTTAGCTTCAGTTCAACTATAGTATTAGATCTTGGACTGACAATGTTTTTTGGAATATTCCAAGATGGTGTCAGTGAAAAGGACACCTTGAGGCAGGAGCTCATTACAGGATACCTTGTTGTTACAAGTATTTATAATCATTACATTGTATTTCTTTAGTCCATGATGAGTTTTATGAATAATCCAACTGGTGATAGACCCTGGGAAGAAGAACCAGGAGCTGAAGATGTTGTTCACATAGRAAATGAAACAGTAAGTATAAAATAGAGTATAAAGTTGTGTAGGGAGAAAGAGGAGTAATACAACTGAACATCCTTGTCCTAYGACTATAAATTATGCACTAATTTTTCAGTAGACAGAACCTAGTAAAATTGAATTTTATCTTCATCTATCCTTTTTAGCAACTAAACAAGGTATTTAGAAGGGAAAAGAAGCCAGTCCTCATAATGTTCTATGCACCATGTAAGTAATTTATGTAAATATATATGATTATAATTTGTTTATTTTTGGTTGGATTTGTGGTGGAGTAAGTAATAAGACAGATCACACTCAAGAGCTTGGGTCGAGGGGGAGGGGGGGGCACACAAAATAATCTGGATCGTACAGCACCTTTGTAATAAACAGAAAGGAATTTAACAAGGGAGGGCCATTTCTTAGACAACAAAAGAGATGGGTAAGGTTTCTTGTTTGGATTTAMTACCAAGAAAATCTCTTACTCCCCTCCCCCTTCCAGATAAAAAATGAAAAAAAAATGAATGGTCCCTAATTACAATGTGTGACACAACAGGGTGTGGATTCTGTAAGAAGTTCAAGCCAGAGTTTGCATCAGCAGCAACTGAACTCAAGGATGATTCAGTAAGTAGTTTAATTTGTCCAAAGGCTTTCAATAGACCATTTTCGAGTTCCAAATTACCACTTTGTGTTCCTAGATTGCAGACTTATTTACACAGGGTTAGCCTCAAATCGGTGTCTAAACATTCATAAATACCAATGGTAAAGTAAATGGACAACTCCAACAATACAAACACTTTGAAATTCRATGGACCTTGACTGGAACACATGAATATTCTACACAAAATTGATGCTAACCCTGTGTAAATGAGTCTGTAATCAAGTGGTAATTTGGAACTCGAAAAGGCTTTCAATTCAGGCTTAGCAATTTTTCATCCAGTTTTTCCACATATTTAATTCCTAGATAAGATCTTTTTCATACCATTTTCGAAGGCTTGACTATTGCCATACTGACTCACAACAATAGACCTCTTTAGCTTCGTATGCAAATTGCCCATTTCAGATCACATGACATTCCCTTGAGAATTGTTCTTTTTGACAAACTTGTTAAAATATTTACACATGTATTGAAAGAATAAACTCCCAAGAGTGGCATCACATGGTCTGAAATTTGTACAACAAACAACAAAGCTAAAGAGATCTATTGAGGTGAAAAGATTGTAAAGATGTTGAAGAACTACGGTAGTACAATTACACAATTCACCAGGATTTGCCAAACAATGTAATTATTAGTGCAAGGTTCTTACATAGTTAATATTCCCCTCTAATAACTATAACTTACAAGTAGCTATACTATTTTGTGTTGACTAAAATATAAATTAGTTGGCCATCCATTCTGCAGGCCTCAAAATAGGAAGTAAGTAAATGTCTCAGGGTTCAAACCCTGGAAGGGGTACCCCGCCAGAACTTGTGTGGTGTGGTGTGGTGTGGTGTGGTGTGGTGTGGTGTGGTGTGGTGTGGTGTG